TAATTTTACTATAGAATGTTATACATTTTATTTATATTATATTTTAGATCATCTCATTTTATTTTACAAATATTAATATCTTAAAAAATGATTTTCGATAAATATTAATTAGAAGTCAAAACCTCTAATTAATTATCCGATAAAAAATGGTTTCAAATAGCCTTTTGGAAACAATTTTTTTTTAAACCAAAAAAAAAAAACTTAGTTTATAATACTTTTGAAATATTTTTTTACTAAAAACAGTTTCAAATAACCTACAATGATTTATTTTACTAAAAGACTTAAAAAAAGTACTAATTAATTAATTATTACCAAGTACTTTTTGTGGTTTATTAATGTGTGTGGAGAACATAGTTTTTAAACTCGGCCCGGTAATCGACCCGGGCAGGTCTCCGGGTCACCAGATCACTGGTTCAACCGTCTGGTCACCGCTTCAATTGCTAAACCGGGTAATTAATTATAAAATTTATAAAATTATATATAGAGTATTTTGTGATATATAAATATACATAAAAATAAAAAAATTAAATATTTTGTATGTAAAATATGTAGATTAAAGTGGTAATGATATGTATATATTTACCATGTAAATACATATACATAGTTTTATTTTTTAAAAAGAAAAAAAAAATAAAAACAAAAAAAAAAATAAAAAAAATAATATAGGGACTGGGTCAATCGGGTTGACCCAGTCGGGTCAATGTCCCGGGCCGATCGGGTCAAGGCCGGGTCGGTCGGGTTTTGACCGAGTTTTAACGGGTCCGTTGTTGGCCGGTCCAAATAGCTCACCTAGACCGATTTCGACTCCTAGTCGATCGGGTCTCGGGTCGACCTGCTGGGCCGGTCCGAGTCACAATAAACACTGGTGGAGAATATTATTTCAAAAAAAAAAAATCAAGTTACATGTTGCTTTCACGATACAGCAGATATCGTCCTGATTCAATATCGTCGCACCATCACCGTTGGATGTGGTGACTTTAGTCGGCGTTTGAAGAAACCAGGGATGATATGGACGGTGGAGATTCCATTTCGGACAAAACCGACACGTCAGCTCACAGGGTTAGCGCACCAAGGGACGCGCCTGAC